CCCCCCCCCCCCCCCCCCCCCCCCCCCACACACACAGCCTTCTCTCCCCTCTCTCAACAAATTTCTCTCTCTTTCTCTCCCTCCCATTCTCTTCTCTCTCTGTTTTTTTTTCTCTCCAAGTCTGTCTATCCCTCTCTCTCTGTCTGTCTGTCTCTCTGTCGGTCTTCTATTCTCTCCCCCTGACTCCTTGTTTATCTCACTCTCTCTTTCTCTCCCTTCCCTCTCTCTATCCCCCCCTCTCTCTCTCTCTCTCTCTCTCTCTCTCTCTCTCTCTCTCTCTCTCTCTCTCTCTCTCTCTCTCTCTCTCCGCCTCTGCCCCTTTTGTTTTTCGCGAGTATATCACAAAAGCAAGGAAAGTCAAAGTTGTTTTGCAATGTCAATAAAATAGAATGAACCTGTTAACTCTTTCAGTACGTTGTCCCAGTTTATCGACACCTTGCTTTTAATACATTTTGTTTCGTGGAATAGAGCGTGGTATAAAACGAGTCACTTCAAACGAAACAGGGAAAGCTGCAGTATCAGAACATTCCAAGACATTGAGACACCCATAGCATAATGTAAAATGGATCGGCTTCTAATAGGCCCCTACTTGACTGAAGAAAGCTGAAAAGAATCTGTCCTTTGCAAAGCCAGATATATTAAATACCTTGTTATAGTATTTTAGAATTCATCTTTTACGAAATTTGGAGCCAAAATGTTCTATGCCGTGAATTACGAACTCCGAATGGAATACCTTAAGTCGGTTCTTGATCTTCGCTTTGTGTTCGCTAATAGTTTCCTGTCATTGATTAGAAAGCTGAAAGAATACGTTAATACCTTGATTGAGGAGTAATTTTCTCGACATTTGTAAGAACAAGTGTGCGCAACTTATAGGTGCGACAACTACACCTATCATTAACACTTCAGAAACATACATATTAAAAGCACATACCCGAAATTGTTCCAAAAGAAAGACAAGATCGACGATATGCGCCCTGATGTGGCCACCGAACTACTCCAAAGGACGCTGTTCAGTAGACCACTTTGTTGTCGAGGTCAAGTCAGGGTTCATATATCAGTCTGTTGAAGTGGAAAGAAGGCAATGAAAGATTTTTAGAGAACATTTTTCCAATACAGGTTGAAGGAACATCATTTATCCGCTGTTGCACAATGATGGTGCACAAAAACATTAGATTTGTTTTAACACAAAAAGCGCAGTCGACTTGTAACAATAATTGCAGAATTGTAGTCAAATTATACGGAC